ATAAGATGGTTTGGGATGTTCTGTGTGATATACACACACAAAAGAAATCAAATTTTTTAAAAATGAATTATATTTGAGAAGGAAGCATAAAAATTTACATCACGTTAATTAGTAGAGGTGATAAACATTACCACTGAAATCTACCCGATGACTTTATAGACATACACAGGTGCCAACGATCTGAATGTAATCGATTATGACTAGTAATAATCAGATACAGATTAGAGACGCGTGCACCAACATCTCAGTGTTATTAGCAAAAACACTGAGTCCTTCTGTAAGAAACAGTATATTTAAAATGAAATGGAGATATTTTTTAAAGGTTAAAAACTCATTCAATGTTATGTCTTACAGGGCTTATACTGAGTTCAATATTCTATAACTGTATTAATTCAACAGCAAACCTAAATACTTTATAGCCACTTTTGAAAGAGATGTATCTTTGTTCTGGAAATTGTTCTGGAGTATGTTAAAGCTGTAATGAAATGCTTCTAAAAAAATTTTTTTAATTATAAAAAAAAGTTTATGTACATACTCTAATGAGAACAGACATAGATAACTAAAACTGAGTATGGTTTCATGTTCCTTATTACTTCTAGATAGTTCTTTAAATCATAAAACATTATTTCCAAAAGATGAGCAAATTCACATATCTTCAGCATTTGAACACCTTCTACTGAATTTCCAATGTTATATAATGTAAACTACGCTAGCATCACAACATGAGGGAATGAGTTCTATTGTTTGAAAGTTAAATATTCAAAATTCCTATTAGTATTATTACTATAATCATAATCCCTTATCTACTTCAAAATCTCTGAATAGAATATATTAATGCATAAATGTGCACATTAAATAGGACCTATGCAGACTAAAATAGCCAAGTCATATTTCCATGGTGTTTTAGAATTTCAGTCAAAGACCGTGGACTTGTACACCCACACTAGAAATGGTCTGAAGTGGGGGGTTTTTTGTTTCTTTTTGTTTTTTTTGAGATAGTAGCTCATGTAGCCCAGGCTATGTGGCTAAGGAAAACCTACAACTCCTCACTATACCATCTCTACCTTCTAGGTGCTGGGATTACAGGTATACACCACCATACCTTTTCTTTGACTTGACTTAAAATATAATTTGAAAGACTATTTATTGCCCAAAAATCAAAGGTTAACTTTTCATTTTAGAGATCATTTCCATCCTTAAGGTTTTATTTATTTCAAGAAGTTTTGATAAACTGTTCTTGAAAGCCCTCTTATATTTGTTCTTTTCAACTATTGTCACTGCCACTCTTCTGGCCCAACTTCCCATGATTTCACAGCTGTCCTACTATTTCAACAGTTTCTATCTACCTCTCTGACTACAGACTTTCTTTTCAATCAACCCTATAGACTGCTAGCACTATTTCAAAGTACTCTGCTTGATATTTCTTCATTTTCGAGATCAGTGGTCCTCAAAATGGTTCCCAGACAGGCAGTATCAGTAATGAATAAATACTATTATTAATAAATACTCAGGTGGCCCATGTATTTAATCCCAGTACTCAGGAGGCAGAGGCTGGTAGATCTCTGTGAGATCAAGGCCAGCCTGGTTGACACGGTGAGTTCCAGGACAACTGGGGCAACAGGGAGACCCTACCTCAAAAATAAACAAACAAACAAATAAATACTCAGGGGGTTAGAGAGATGGCTAAGCACTTAAGAGCGCTTGCTGCTCATGGGGTAGAGAGATGGCTCAGTTAAAGAGCATTGGCTGCTCTTCCAGAGGACCTGGAAACAGTTCCTAGCACCTACGTGGCATCTAACAACTGTCTATAACTCAGTATCAGGGGACCCAACCCCTTCTTATGGCCTCCACAGGCACTGTACAACACTGGTATACTTACATACAGGGAGGTAAAACACTCATACACACACAAAAAAAATTAAAATTAAATTTTAAAACGGAGTGCTTGCTGCTCTTGAGGACCCAAGTTTGCTAAGAAACTATTTAAAAGCAATGCTACAACTGCTTGTAATTCCAGCTCCTAAAGATCTGATGCCCTCTTCTGGCCTCCATGGGCACCTGCACTCACATTCACATACCCATACACACACACACACACACACACACACACGCGCGCGCGCGCCCGCGCACACACACACACACACACACACACACACACACACGCGCGCGCGCGCGCGCGTGCCCGCGCACGCACTCGCACACAAGCACAGAAATACACACCTAATTAAAAATAAATCTTTTTAAAGAAGTATTCAGTTAAGAGTTACATTTCGAAATAAGATTATTCACTTTTGGGGTGGCTACAAACTGGGGGGATTGAGTGGCAAACATGTACAGGTCCAAAGACAACTTTAAGTTTTGGTCTACATACCCACCATGTTTGAGACAGAGCCTCTCTCTTTATTCACTACTGCTTATGCCAAGTTTGCAACCCATGAGCTTCTGGTGAGTGTCCTGTTTCAGCCTCCTTTCTTCCAACAAGAGTGTGGTAGATTGCCAGGCATGGTGGCACACACCTTTGATCCCAGCACTTGGGAGGCAGAGGCAGGAGGATCTCTGTGAGTTCGGAGCCAGCCTGGTCTACACAGTTCCAGGCCAGGTGGGGCTACAGGGAGACCCTGTCTCAAAAAGATAACCCCCCCACCCCGAAAAAAGGATATGCTAAATTATAGACACTTGCGATACTGCTGAGCTTTTGTGTGGCTGCTGGCGATCTGAATTCAAATCATCAGGCTTGGGTGGCAAGTACTTTACCCACTGAGCCATCTTCCAGCCCAAACTCAGTAGTTTAAAAATTTTTTTTACTTATTATTTGTGTGTATGTATGTGTATGTGGTATGTGTGTATGAGTATAGGTATGCATGAGCCACAGTGAGCATGTGGAGTTCAGAAGACAACTTTGGGGAGTCAAGTTTCTCTTTTCACTGTCAAAGCCAGGGACTGAGGTCAAGCCATTAGGCTTACATAGGATTTGCCCTAACAACTACCCACTGAGCCATCTTACTGGCCCTAAATTTTTTTTTAATGTTTTATTTATTTATTCTTATGTGCATGTGTGTATTGCCTGCATGTAGGTAAGTGTACTTGTGTCATGCAATGCCTGCAGAGGACAGAAGAGGCTGTTGGATCCCCTGGAACTGGAGTTACAGACAGTTGTTAGCTGCTATGTGGGTGCTGGGATTTGAACCTGGGTCTTCTGCAAGAACATTCAGTGTTCTTAACTGCTGAGCCATCTCTCCAGCCCCATGGCCCTAAATTTTTAAAGAATAACTTATAACTTATAACTAGAACTAACTCTCTCTCTCTCTCTCTCTCTCTCTCTCTCTCGACTTTTTGAGAGAGGGACTCCCTATAGCCCCAGCTGGCCTGGAACTCACAGAGATACAGAGATCTGCCTGCCTCTGCAGATTAATTCAAAGCATTGCACTTGTATCTATTTCACTCTGACATAAAAACTAGGTAAGAATAAAGTCAATGAAAAAGCATCACAAAGCAACAGAGATAATAGCATCTTAGAATTTTTAAAACCCATGACTATGATTTGTCATGTTTCTGATGTCATTACCCTTAGTTATCAGACACAATAAAGATGATGATTTCCTGAGGGCTAAAGATATGTGCCACCACGCCTGGCATAGCTAGAACTTTCTAAAAGGAAAACCAATAACTGGGTTGAGAGAGGTTATACTTTTTAAAAAACAATTTGTTTTTATGTGTATGAGTGTTTTGGCTACATGTGTATGCAGTGCTCACAGAGTCAGAAGAAGACATTGAATCTTCTGGAACTGGAGTTCCAGATGGTTGTTAGCTGTCATGTGGATGCTAGAACCAAACCTGGGTCCTCTGCAAAAGCAGCCAGTGCTCTCAACTCCCAAGCCATCTCTAGCCCCAAGAAAGATTACAGTTTAATAAAAAAATAAAAAGTAAAATAAGTACATTTCATAATCTTCTGACAAATATTTAAATAAATTTTAGTCTCCAGAAAACTGTCATATTTAGATGAATAAAACCATTTTCTATAAAATTATTTCCATGATTTGTACCAATTTAATAATAAATACACCCAAGAAGTCCACAATTTCTCTTCCTGTAGACAGCTAGTAAATACACTACTATATCTAGCACATAAATAAAAAAGCACTATAGCCGGGCGTGGTGGCACACGCCTTTAATCCCAGCACTTGGGAGGCAGAGGTAGGAGGATCTCTGTGAGTTCAAGGCCAGCCTGGTCTACATAGTGAGTTCCAGGACAGCTGGGGCTTCTTGTCTCAAAAGGACCGAAAAAAAAAAAAAAAAAAAAAGCACTATAAAAAATATAACACTATTTCAAGTTAGTCACTTGAACATGCATGAGTTATGATACTGTTTTGCCACCTTTCAGAATAGGAAAGACACTAGAAAGAAAAATTCACTCTCACCCAGATAAAATTTAAATCCAACATTTAGGCACCTGGTCTCATAATCAAGACCAAACATTCTACTACGTTACCTGGCAAACCGCTCTTTATCATTACACATCTGCTCGTCATCACACCTGAAAAGACAGAAAAGATTAATTCAGAGCTAGAGAGATGGCTCAGAGGTTAGTTAAGAACACTTACTGCTCTTGTAGAGGACCCAAGTTCAGTTCCCAGCACCCACATGGTGGCTCACAAAAGACTAACTGCAACACCAGGGAAATCTGATGCCCTCTGCTGGGCACTGCGCTCACATGCACACAAATCCATACACACATATACACACATAAAATGTTTTAAAGATTAATTCAAAGCATTGCACTTTTATCTATTTCACTCTGACATAAAAACTAGGTAAGAATAAAGTCAATGAAAAAGCATCACAAAGCAACAGAGATAATAGCATCTTAGAATTTTTAAAACCCATGACTATGATTTGTCATGTTTCTGATGTCATTACCCTTAGTTATCAGACACAATAAAGATGATGATTTCCTGAGGGCATGAAGTGTCTTGTGACTGCCCTGTCAGCAGCACTCTAAAGTTAAAAAGAGATTTGATTTTTTATCTTGTTTTGTTGGTTTTCTTATTAATTTTTTTAATATGTATGAGTGTTATGCATGCATGTGTGTAAGTGCACCCATGTCATACAGTGCCCATGAAGGATATAAGAAGGTGTCAGGTCACCTGGAACTGGAGATACAGACAGTTGTTAGCCACCATGTAGGTGCTAGGATTCAAACCCAGGTGTTCTGCAAGACCAGCCAGTGTTCTTAACCACTGAGCCATTTCTCCTTGTTTTGTTTTTCAAGACAGGGTCTCAGCTATTAAGCACTGGCTAGCCTGGAACTTGCAGGGATTCTTCTACCTCTGCCTAGAATTACCAGCATGAACCAGCATGCCTGGCTCAGTTTTGTTTGCTTGTTTTTTCACTGTGGCTAAAAAAATCCTGGAACATTTTCTTTATACAGTCATCTATAGATGGATGTTTGTGAAAAAATAGGGCAATGAACATGGGTATTCCAATAACACTAAGATCCTGCTTTAGTGGAGCACAGTAGTTCATGCTTTTAATCCCAGCATGTGGGAGGCAAGTGGAGCTCTGTAAGTTCAAGACCAGCCTGATCTACATAGTGAGTTTCAGGCCAGTCAGAGCTACATAGTAAGATACTATCTCAAAAAAAAAAAAAAAAAAAAATTCCTTCATTCAATTCTTTTAGATATGTAATAGAAGTAGACTTAGAAGATCATATGGTAATCTATGCTTTATTTTTCAATTTCCTTTATGTTTATTTAGTGTATATATATATTTGTGGAGGTCAGAGGACAACTTGGAGGAGTCGGTTTTCTCCTTCCTCTCAGGTTATCAAGCTTGGCAAGCACCTTTACCAACTGAGCCATCTTGCCAACCCGCTATGTTTTATTTTTAGTGTGTGTGGGTTTGTTTGTTTGTTTTGTCTTTTTAAGACAGGGTCTCCCTGTAGCCCCTGCTGGCCTGGAACTCACTATGTAGACCAAGCTGGCCTTGAACTCACAAGAGATTTGCCTGCCTCTGCCTCCCGAGTGCTGGGACTACAGGTGTATGCCATCATACCCAGCTTTGTGGGTTTTTTTTTTTTTTTTTTTTTGCTTTTTGAGACAGGGTCTCCTTGTAGCCCCAGCTGTTCTGGAACTATGTAGACCAGGCTGGCCTCAAATGCACAAAGATCAACCTGCTTCTGCCTCCCAAGTGCTGGGATTAAAGGCATGCGCCACCACGCCCGGCTCTGTGTATGTATTTTTAAGACAGAGTCCTACTTTGCAGTTTAGGTTTGCCTTGATCTCACAGTGATTCTTCTACTTCAAGCTCCCAAGTGCTGGGAGTACACATGTATGCCACCATATTCAGCTCAAAATTAATAAATTATTTTTTAATTGGATAAGGGTCTGAATAGATGGCTCAGTGGTTAATCAGTGGTTAAGATCTACTGTAATTTAAGTTACAGTTGTTAGCCACCATGTGGGTGCTGGGAACTGAACCCAGGTCCTCTGCAAGAGCAGCCAGTGCTCTTAACCACTGAGCCATCTCTCCAGTCTTAATTTTTTAATTAATTTTTTTAAGCACCATCATACCGTTTTCATTGTGGCTTGACGTACATTTACAACACTATGGTGTACAGGTGGTCTAATTCCTTATGCCTTTATCCATATTTGTTATTTTCTGGGTTTTCGTTTCTTTATGAAATAGGATCTTACTAAACAGCTCAGGTGACTGGCCTCAAATTCATGATCTGCCTGCCTTTACCTAGTGAAGGCTGCAATTACAGGTATCAGTCACCAGGCCTAGCTTCTGTTTTGTTTGTTAGTAATGGTCGTCCTAATAGATAAACAAAACCCCTCCCCTTGTCTTCCACCGGGAGAAAGTTCACTTTGCAAGGCTCCAGAGTTCTCAGCCCCAGCCCTCTCTTGGTCCTCTGAGGACCGTTCCTACTATGACTCACCCACACTATGGCCCACTAGCAAAGACTTCCTATTTCCCACAGCTGTCACATTGCTCCCATAGGCCTCAAGGCCTTTGTACTTCCCATTCCTCCTTAGGAAGCCTCCCCAGCTCTGTGCACTCTACCCAAACACAGCCATCCCATTTCATGTTCCTTATCACCATTTCAGTTTCTGCTGCAAAGTGTTCTCCCCAAAGGCCTTGGTGATCCTCAATCTGACACTGTCCTCAATTAACATAACAGTAGCCCAAGTTTTACCATCCTATTGTAGTTATCTCCTTTACCTGTTTACTGTCTGTCTCCGCTATCAGAGTGTCAGCTCATAAAGGAAGAGGCCTTAACTCAAAGTCAGAAACTCCAAAACAAGCTGCTCTGGTCTACTAATTACTTTGAGGTGAAGGCATGTGAAAAAGAAATGCTGGGTGGGATGTGGTGGCTTATATACTTGGGAGGCTGAAGTTGAAAGATCACAATGAGTCTGAAGTCAATCTGGGCTACATAGTACTTTCCAGGCCAGTTTGGACTACAGAGTTAGACCCTGTCTTAAAATAACCAAATGGGGGGATGGAGAGATGGCTCAGTGGTTAAGAACACTGTTTGTTCTTGCAGAAGACCTGGGTTCCAATCCCAGCACCCACATGGCAGCTAACAACTGTCCATAACTCCAGTACCAGGGGATCTAACAGCCTCTTCTGTCCTCCGCGGGCATTGCCTGACACAGTGCACTTACCTACATGCAGGCAATACATGCATACACATAAAATAAAAATAATAAATAAAATATTTTTTTAAAAAAATAATAATAACCAAATAGGGCTGGTGAGATGGTTCAGTGGGTAAAGATACTTGCTTCCAAGCCTAATGACCTGAGTTCAATCCCCAGAACACATATGGTGGAAGGAGAAAACCACTCCAACAAGTTGTCCTCTGACCTCTACACACAAGCTATGGCACTAGAGCCCCACCACCACTACCACACACCAAACAAATACTAAACACACCAAGACTCCCAACTTCTCTTATCTGCATCAGGACAGAAAGAACTAGATAGCCAAATATCCCCTCTAGGAAGTTTTGTCAACCTGGGAGAGCAGCTCTGAATCATTGGAGAGATTAAAAGTCAAATGTACACAACTGCACATTCATCTTTTCCTCAAATTATGCACTCTGCCCTGAGTTGCCTATGTTACCATCCCTATAAGGAGGGGTATATAAATTACTCAATCTTACTGGCTGTTTGTATACCCACTCAGTTTTCCTGTGGGTCCCTAAGGGTACCCCCAGAGCACATATCATTAGTCTACCTTTTCTTCTATTTACCTGCCTGTTGTCAGATGCAGTCATAAAGCCCCGAGGGTAGAAGGAAGGTTTTATCTCCTCTACAACAGCAACACAGGCATGTCTGCCTCTCAGTGAATACTGACTGAACTGGATAAATAAAATTTGGGGTGTGTTTTCTAGTATTTGCATACACACACACACACACACACACACACACACACACACACACAGAGGAATCAAACCCAGGCCTTGTGCACATACTTTACCAGTGAGTAACACCTCCAGCCCATTTTAACCACTTTTAAGTGTCATGAGGCACAATCATTGTCACTGTTCTTTGTTGTTGGTTGGAGGACAATTGCTTGCTCTGTAACCCAATTTATTAGGCTGGCTATAAGCTTTATAAACCTGAGATCTTCCTGCCTCCATCTTCCAAGTGCTGGAATTACAGGTGCCCATCACCATGCCATGCCTGCTAGCTCCTTCTTTTGTTTACTTAGTTAATTAATTAATTATTTTGAGACTAGGTCTGGCTATGTATTACAGGCTGACCTTAAACTTGAACCTGTAATCCTCCAGATTACATCCCCCTTGAGCTGTGGTTACAAGTATGCCCTCCATGCCTGGTTTCTGCATTGCTGGGAATCAAACCCAGGGCCTAAGGCACAGTAGGCAACTGCTCCTCATTCTTAAATCTTAAATCAGCTTTCATTGTTGTTATTGCCCAGCTGAAGACGTTCACTATATATTCTAGATATCAATTGCTTCTAAGACACATGATTTGCAAGTATTTTCTCCCAATTCGACATGTTGCTTTTTCACAATAAACAAGAAGCACTATTAGGAATTAGGTAAGTTTCACAAAATTGGCAATTCAATGGTACACTGTCTTACAGTAAACTCTGTTGTTGTTAAATAAGAACAATAATAATAGGGGCTAAAGATATACAGCCAATAGTACAGTACTTGCCTAGCATTTAAGAGGCCCTGAATTTGGTCACTAGCACTGAAAAAATAAGTAATAAAAGTTATAAAATGGCTCAGCGGTTAAGAACACTGGTTGTTCCTGCAGAAGACCCGGGTTTGAATCCCAGCACCCACATGGCAGCTAACATCTGTCCGTAACTCCAGTCCCAGGAGATCCGACAGTCTCTTCTGACTTCCGTGGGCATTGCATGACACGGGTGCAGTTACCTACATGCAGTACCTTTAATGCCAGCACTTGGGAGGCAGAAGAAGGCAGATCGCTGTGAGTTTGAGGCCAGCCTGGTCTACATAGTGCGTTCCAGGACAGCTGGGGCTACAGGGAGACACTGTCTCAAAAAGAACAATAATTAATTAATTAATTAATTAATTAATTAAATTTTTTAAAGTTATAAAATAGTGAACACGTAACATAATCATGTATAATCAAGTATTATTAATTACACATATATATGTGCTACATTTTAATATGACTAGCAATATAGTAGGCTTGTTTATCCCATCATCCCCACAAATATGAACAATGAACGCTCCAAAGTTAGAATGGCTATGTGATAGAAATTTTGTATTTCCCATAATAATCTTATGAGTACATAGTCATATAGTGATCTGCTAAAGATCAAAATATTGTTATGAAATTTGTGACTACTGGACTTTGAGAAAGCAATAACCCAGGGTTAAATCTACTTCACAGGAATAAAGTCTAGTTACCTCTATACCATTCATACATATAACATGCTCCAATAATAGCATTTGTCATTGAAATGCAGAATTTTCTAATGAAGAAATTAAGAATCTATTTTATCTCGTCCCTTCTTCACATTTATTGAGACCTATGAAGTGTCAAGGACAATTACTTTCACCTGCACTATTTCTTTATCATAGCCAAGTCATGTTTTCTTTTCAAGAGTATCTGATAGGTTTCACAACTAGTCAGTAGTTAGAAATATGAGCCCTGGGGCCAGGCGTGGTGGCGCACGCCTTTAATCCCAGCACTTGGGAGGCAGAGGCAGGCGAATCTCTGTGAGTTCAAGGCCACCCTGGTCTACATAGTGAGTTCCAGGACAGCTGGGGCTACAGGGAGACCCTGTCTCAAAAAAAAAAAAAAAAAAAAAGAAAGAAATATGAGCCTTTACCTAAAACCTTACTATAAAAGACACTAGTAACTATCCTAAACACTAAAAGACTAAACAACAGAAAGCAATTTATACTATGGACATCTTTTGTATAAATCAAAAGGTGGGGCTAGAGATGTAGCTCAGTTGGTAGAGTATATAACTAGCATACTGTGGCACAGACCTATAATGCAAGCACTAGGGAAGTAGAAGCAGTAAGGTCAGGAGTTCAAAACCATCTTAAGCTACATATTAAGTTTAAGGTCAGCCTAGGCTACACAGAATCTTGTCATACACACATATAATATACAAACTAATTCTTGCTACCTATAAGAGGAATCAACAGGTGTCAAAGGAATTGATAGAGTAGAACATTAACAAACTATACCTCTTAGAATCCACTTCTTTTTGTGCTCCTCTACAACACTGACTCAAAACAGGAAAATATGACTTGCTTTAGCCAATGGGACATTAGTAAATGTCATAGAACCAGAAGTTTTGTTAAGTACACTAAGACTTGCCCTCTGTATTATAGCCATCACCACACAAAGAAACTCAGTCTCCTCTGTTAGAAGACAAAAGTAGGGATGAGACAAGGGAGGGGAAAAACAGGAGAGAAGAGGGGAGGGGGCAACCATGCCAGCTGAGTCTTACTTGGCCAGTAGGCTGGAATGCCTTTAGATAGAATCTCACCTTGTAGCCCTGGCTGGCCTGGAACTTGCTATGTAGACCACATTTATCTGGGACTTAGAGATCTGCCTGCCTCTGCCTCCCTAGTGCTGGGATTAAAGGCGTGCATCACATTGTCTGAGAGCAATCTTAACCAGTGAATCCAGGCAATTATCAGTCCATAGACATGAAAACTAATGAACTGCTATTCTTTTTTTTTTCCTGTGTGTGTGTGTATCTTTGCATGTGTATGAGCACAAGTCAATGTGACTGTGAGTGCACATGGTAAGCATGCATGTAGAGGCCTGAGGTTGATGGTCAGGTAACATCCTCCATGACACTTCCATTTTATTCAATGAGGCAGGGTCTCTGAATCAAATCCAGAGTTCACAGGAGAGGGTGGGGAAAATAAAATAAAATCCAAAGCTCACATGTATATGTTTACATGTGCATGTAAAAGCTCAAAAATGATAATCATCCCCTATCACTCATCCACCTTATTCAATGAGTCAGAGTCTCTCAATCAAATTGAGAGCCCACAGACATAGCTGGTTTGGATAGCCAACTTATTCTGGGGACTCCCTGTCTCTGATTTCCAAAGTGAGAACTATAAGTGGGTTGCCACACCCACCAGGCATATGCACGGGCTCTGCAGATCCAAACCTCGTCCTTACACTTGCATTGCAAGTACATAACTGGTGACCCATCTCCCCAGCCTACTATTCTTTTTAAGTCATGAATCAATATATGACTAGCTTATAGAAGATCTTGTAAATTTTCAGTGCTTTCCTCACTGAGGTCCTATCTTTAAAATTAACGAAATGCTTAAAAAGTTTCTATGATATAATATAAAAATGTATAGGTTTAGGATGAAGCATACTCCTTACTCCTACAAACAAAAATATTTCTATAAGCTAAAAGTATAAATTTTTTTTGGTACTGAAGACTGAACTCAGGGCTTTATGAATGGTAGATGCTCATTCTACAAAGCTACACCCCAGTCCGATCCTTTTTAAAAAACTTTTATGACATTTATTTGTTTTTTTACTGGGGGGAGGCACGCACATGCCACAGCACATGTGTGGTGAAGGTCAGAGGATAACTTGTGGTATTCAGTTCCCTCCTTCCATCATTTGGGATCCAGGGCTTGGTAGCAAGTACTGTTTCCAACTAGGTCATCCAGGCAGCCCACAGCCTACTCATTTTTTAAATATTTTATTTATTATTTTTATTTTATGTGAATGAGTGTTTTGCCTGCATATATGTAAATGCGCCCATGTTGTACAATGCCCATGGCCCATGGAGGCCATAAGAGGGCGTTGGATCTCCTGGAACTGGAGTTAGCGGCCATGTGGGTGCTGGAAACAGAACACAAGTCCTCTGGAAGAGCAGTCAGTGATCTTAACTATTGAGCCATCTCTCCAGCCCAAACCCACTAATTTTTAGTATTAGAAATCTAGAAAAACAAATTCAGGCTCTTACCTCAAAAATTTACTGTTCCCTTCTCCATCATCATCAAAATCCAGCCTAGGGAAAGGCAATAAAAAATTTAGATATATGTTTATTGGTAATACAGAATGTTAAGTAATTAAAGTTTTGGGTTTTTTTTTTCGTTTTTTTTTTTTCGGTCTTTTTTGAGACAGGATCTCCCTGTAGCCCCAGCTGGCCTAGAACTCACTATGTAGACCAGGCTGGCCTTGAACTCCCAGAGATCCGCCTGCCTCTGCCTCCCAGAGTGCCACCACGACCCAGCTGCAATTAAAATATCTTAACACAAGCTACTGCATACCCACCTAAATAGAAGGAAAAGTGGACAAAAACAAAACAAGGCTAGGGCTAGAGAGATGGCTCAGTAGTTAAGAACATTGTTTGTTCTTGCAGAAGACCCGGGTTTGAATCCCAGCACCCACATGGAAGCTAACAACTGTTCATAACTCCAGTCCCAGGGGATCTGACAGCCTCTTCTGACCTCTGCAGGCATTGTACAACACGGGTGCACTTATCTACATGCAGGCAATACACACATACACATAAAAAAAAAATTTTTTTTTTAAAAAAAAAGGCTATAATATCTGTTCTCCATATTGTCATACCAGGGAGGAAAGTTGGGCAATAAAGCCAGCCATGGTGGTACATGCCTATAATTCTACCACCCAGAAGCTAAAACAAAAGGATTAAGACTTTAAGGCCACCCTGAGATATTTAGTGAATTGTAGGCCAGCCTAAACTACATAGTGAGAACCTGCTTCAAAAAACAAAAAGGGGCTGGAGAGATGGCTCAGTGGTTAAGAGTACTGGTTGCTCTTGCAAAGGGCCCTGGCTCAATTCCCAGCACCTACATGGTGCTAATAACCACATTAGCTAATAACTGTCTGTAACTCCTTAATAAATATTTTTGGAACTAAATAGACTGTGCATTCCATGCCAAACAAAATATTAGTAAAACTTAGAAAATAAGTATTTTAGAGTTCATCATTCTCTAAATTCAGAAAAGAAGTTTAACAAAATGATTTTAAAACCGATATAAAGCTTAAGTTTAAAGAAAGCAACAGTGAAATCTTTTAACTTAGCCACTGGTTCTTCACCTTCCAGATATTTTTTTATTTTAAAAAACTTCCCTACAGGGCTAGAGAGATGGCTCAGCAGTTAAGAGCCCTGGCTGCTATTGCAAAAAAAACCTGGGTTCAGTTCCCAGCACCTACATGGCAGCCGACAACCATCTGTAACTCCAGTACCAGAGGTCTGACTTCTGTGGGCTTTGCACAACACAGGTGCACTAACAGGCAATACACACACATACATAAAAGAAAAAAATAATGAATTTTTTAAAAACCCCCTTATTGTTGGACTTGGTGTGCATGCCTTTAATTTCAGCAATCAGAAGGCAGAGGCTTGTAGATCTCTGTGAGTTCCAGGACATCAGTCTGGGCTACATAGTCAGACTCTATCTAAAAACAAACAGCTGGGTGTGGTAGCGCACACCTTTGGTCCCAGAGGCGGAGGTAGAGGGATCTCTGAGTTCAAGGCCAGCCTGGTCTACATAGTGAGTTCCAGGCCATCTAGGGCTACAGGGAGAATCTGTCTCAAAAACTAAAAACAACAACAACAACTTGCTTATCAATGAAGACACATCAATGAAAAAAAGTTTTATATGTGAAATAAATGTGATGCAGTAGTAAGTTGGCATGAATGTGAAAGAGGTAAGACAAGAGGAAAGTGACCATGACTATTTCAGCCTTTTCTTTATAGCTGTAATTCTAGTGACAATAAATCACATAAATACTAAAAAATAAATTTATATAAAATATCAATTCTGTTTATAGAAAAAATGTAGGGATTGAGAGTTACATGACAGCAGTATAATATATAATCAACTGATGTTAGTTCAGGAATAGCCAAGGAGATACAGCAACTGAATCAAGTTGACTTTACAGACAAAGACATTAATGACACTACACTCAAACTCACCCTGGTCGCCGCTTAATAGCCCTCTGTACAATGGCTCCTCCACCTTGAATTCCAGGTCCAGGGACATCTGCTGTCATTTCTATCAGAAAAGAATATCATCACTGACAATCATCATGAAGTTGGCTAGAAGAAATTTTCAAACCAGGGGCCAGCAAGATGGCTCATTCGGTAAAGGTGCCTGCTGCCAAGCTTGATGACTTGTGTTCAATTCCAGGGGCCCCATGGCAGAAGGAGAGAACTAACTCCCCAAAGTTGTCCTCTGACATGTATATGTGGCTATGGCATGCATGCACCCACATGTACACACAAATAAATAAATAAATGTAACTTTTTAAAATAAGAAATGCTCTTCCACTGGGCGTGGTGGCACACACCTTTAAACCCAGCACTCAGGAGGCAGAGGCAGGCAGATCTCTGTGAGCTCAAGGCCAGCCTGGTCTACATAGTGAGTACCAGGACAGCTGGGGCTACAGGGAGACCTTGTCTCAAAAAGACCAAAAATAAAATAATAAAATAAAAATTAAAAGAAAAGAAGAAATTCTTAAGCGAGCCATGGTGGCAAAAACACATGATCCCAGCATTTAAGAAGTAGGAGGGAGGGTGATCAGGAATTCAAAATCATCCTCACAGACAAAACAAGTCCGAGGCCAGCCTGGGGCACAGGAAACTATGACTCAAAGAACCCAAAGAAAAGAAAGCTATGAATAAAATCTCAGTAGTATACTAGAGATCCACATATTAAAAAATATTCATATCCAAACCACCCATCTTGAATTCTCAATACTTCAGTTTTTCCTACTCTATAAGGTTTGGAAGAAGTACCATAACGCCTTTTTTTTTTTTTTTTTTTTTTTGGTGTCATTGAGACAGGTCTCCCTGTAGCCCCAGCTGGCCTGGAACTCACTATGTAGACAAGGCTGGCCTTGAACTCACAGAGATCTGCCTGCCTCTGCCTCCCGAGTGCTGGGATTAAAGGCATGCGCCACTTATAGCTCTTTTTAAAAAAATAAAAAATAGTGGCAGAAAGTCTGTTTCCCTATGTTCAACAGACTTTCAGGCCACTGGAAGCTTGCTCGGGAATGGTAGATTTGAGCACAAGACTCAGGCCATTCCAATCAGACAAGGGCCTAGGATGGAGCGAGGGAAATGGGTGGGCCTGGCCCAAGCCTGGGAACTGCTGGGAGACTGATCACTGCTGGATGAGGGAGAATAGACTTCCTTAAGATCTCTAGTTAGGCTGACTAGACTCCAGTGGATGAACTTGTACCAAAGGACATCTGGGTAAAAATGCTTGACCGGAGAGAACTTAACACATATGGCAGAATGCATGAGGTCCAATGGGGGTCTAAATTTGATTAAGAACTGTTGTATGAAATGTACAAAAGCTCAAAAAAAAACTTTTTTAAAGAATGTTAGTTGGGCAGATCTCTGTGAGTTCAAGGCCAGCTTGGTCTACATAGTGAGCTCCAGAATAGCTGGGGCTACAGGGAGACCCTGCTTCAAAAAAACAAAAATTAATTAATTAATTAATTAATTAAAAAGAATGTTAAAAAAATGTTATTAAAAAAGTTGAGCATGGTGGCTTATTCTTCCAAATCCAGTATGGGAGGCACAAACCAGAGAATCATTCTAAGTTCAAAGCCAGCCTGATCTACACAGAGTCCCAGGCCAGCCAGCAAGGCTTTGTCTCTAACAAAAAAATACATTCTGTAATCTTCACTATTATTATTATTATTATTTTGGATGCAGGGTCTCTCTATACAACACAGGCTGTCCTTGAATTTTGATCAGCCTGCTTCAGTATCACAAATGAGAACGTAAGAATTTTATAGCCACTTTTGAAAGAGATGTATCTTTGCTCTGGAAATTGAGTATGTTAAGGCTGTAATGAAATGCTTCTAAAAAATAAAAAAATAAAAAATAAATTTTAAAAAAGTTTGCAACAGTGACATAACAGTAATTTAAAACAAAGCAAACACAAATTGATTATGTATGCTATGATTTGGATGTCATTTAATCATCTGAGTGTCCCCAAAGCGTCTACTATCTAAAGTCTTGGATGTAAGAGTGACACTACTGGGTAGTGCTGTGAAACCTTAGGAAAGTAGGGGTCTAATAGGAGGACTCTGTGCCTTCAAAAGGGATTAAGAGACTCCACCCATGTTCTCTTCCTCCCTTACTGCCTCCCTCTACTTAGCAGTCTGAGATATGAGCACTAGCTTCCACATACTCTCCCACCCCACCCTCCATAGTCCTCAGTAGAACTGAGCAGATACAGGTACCATGCCTTTGAACTTCTAAACTGTGAACTAAATAAACCTTTTCTAGTTATAAGTGAGTTTCCTTGGGTAATCCACTAAAGTAACACAAAATTGACTAATACAATGTCTTTTCTTAATGAATTTGTAAAATCTATCAGTATGCAAAGTATGACCTTTGTTATATACTAAACACAACTTCTCACCATATCTCTAATTATACTCGTCATTATTTATGTTATTAAATTTATTAATGTTTTCCCAAATAATTCCTGGATTTATCCCTTTCTTAAGAAAGCTCTGCCAAGAGGTTGGGGGGGAGGGTGGAGCATGTCTTTAATCCCATCACTTAGGAAGCAGAGGCAGACTGATCTCTGAGCTCAAGACCAGTCAGGTCTACATAGCAAATTATGGGCCTGCCAGGGGCTACACAGTCCTAGATTTCCCAGTGTTAGTCAGCTTGGGCTTCTGTATCCAGATGCTATAAACTAGATGTTGTAATCAACAGAATTTGTTTCTCTCAATTCTGGTGAGGGAGAGGAGAGGAGAGGAGAGGAGAGGAGAGGAGAGGAGGGCAGGTGGGCAGCTGGCTGGCTCCCAGGCTGGAAAGATGGCTCAGCAGTTAGGAGCACTTACTGCCCTTCCAGAGGACCTGAGTTTGGTTCCTAGCACCCATGTCAAGCAGTTCACAATCACCTGTAACTTTAACTTCAACTCCAGAGGGATCCAATACATCTGGCCTCCATGGGCACCTGCACAGACCCACACACAGATCCATACACATACACATAATTAAAAATAATTTTAAAATAGGCTGGAGAGGGGGTTCAGCAGTTAAGAGCACTGATTGCTCTTTCAGAGGAGCTAGGTTCAGTTCCCAGCACCCACATGTCAGCTAATAACAATTCATAACTCCAGTTTCAAGAAATCCAACACCTCCTTCTGGTCTCTTCAGGCATTGCACACACATAGTGCACGTACATACACGCAGGCAAAGCACTCACACATAAAATAAAAATTATAAATTTTTTTTTTGATCTTTTTGAGACAGGGTCTCCCTGTAGCCCCAGCTGTCCTGAAACTCACTATGTAGACCAGGTTGGTCTGGAACTCACAGAAATCTGCCTGCCTCTGCCTCTAGAGTGCTGGGTTTAAAGGCATGGGCTACCACGCCCAGCCTTAAGATATTTTTAAAGTAATAATAAACAAATCTTTTAAAAATAAAGCTCCCCTATCTCCTAGTTATTTCTCTAATTTATTTTTTTAACAGGCTTTTAATTGATCTGGAATTTATTTTGCATGTGTTATTGTCATCAGTTACTGTCATATGATACGTAATGTTTCAGTCAACAATAATGAGGCACATATAAAACTGTGGTCCAAAAGCTCACATCACCTAATGACATCATAGCTGGCTTAATTTGTGTAAATATACTATGACAGTCATACAAAGATACAACTTGCTGATACACTTGCTGAATAGTCCACCATTTCTTCACTTATTTGAAAGCATCCCCTTTACTGTCGACAGAATAGCCATACCTAACCTGCAGCCCTTGGACATGCTTGCCACTCACTACATTTGTAGCTCACAAATAAACAAATCTTTTTGTCAATCTTTTTGACATCACAGTGTCAAAAAGTTATGAGCCAACAAGATAACTCAGTGGGTAAAGGCACCTTCAACCAAGCTTGGCCACCCAAGTTTGAGCCCCAGGACCCACATGGTGGAAACAAAAAAAATCAACTATCACAAGTTGTCCTCTGACCTCCACCTGTGTGCTGTGGCATGTCATGGGAGCACATACACAAAACAGATAAAATATAGTAAAAAAGATTTTCTGAAGATTGCATACTCTGGGGCTGGAGAGGTAGCTCAGCAGTTAAAAGCACTGGCTGTTCTTGTAGGAAAACTCAGGTTTGAATCCCAGCACCAATACGGCAGCTAGTAGCCATGGATAACTCCAGTTCCAGGGGATCCAATGATTCAACAGGCACTGCATGACACAGGTGCACTTGCACGCATTCAGGCAATAAACGCATCACATAAAATAAAAATAAGTTTTAAAAAAAAGACTGCATACTCCTGCTAGATATGTTCTCTTTCTGAACTAATACATTTTTCTATTACTGTGTCAGTCTTGATTTTTTTTAATTACATCTTCATATTTTAATAGTTTAATAAGAAAAGCACTGTGCAGTCTGTCGAAATGGCTCAATGAGTAAAGGACCTGCCACCAAGACTACATGAGTTCAATCCCAGAACCCACATAGTAGAGAGAACCCACTTTGGCAACTTGTCCTCTGACCTCCATTCACATTCTCTGGCACTTGTGTTCCCCATCCCCAATTAAATAAAAAAAAAAAAATGTAATAAAAAAAATTTTAAAGCTTTATCCCTGAGGCAGGATAGAAAGACAGAGAAAATTAAGGGAACATAAGAATGAAAAGAAGCCCTCACACAGGGATCATTTTCCTCTCCTGATGACTGGCAGTTAAGAAGCTTAACACAGCTGATAAAGCCAAACTTGCCTACAGAGATAATGTCTCAAACAAGGATGTTAAAAACAACAAACTGCTTACTTAAGGCCAGAATGTTTAGGGCCTCCAGTTTAATGTATCAGCACATCTCTCTCATCCCTAACTCTGAACAAGGCACTTTATAAAACGACCTGATGAAAGAAAATTCTTTAAGAAAAATAACTTAGCACACTTATTTTTTACTTAATTTTTAAACTTTAAATTTTTTAAATTTATTTTTTATTTTACGTATATGTGTTTTGCCTGTGTGTATGTAAGTGTACCATGTGAGTGCAACACT